AGGGAGAGCGGGGACGGCCCCTCCGCGGCGGTGACCGCCGGTGCAACGCGCCCCAGCTCCGCAGCGGAGATGCTCATGGTGTCGATTAAGCGAAGCTCTTAAGCAGGTGCTTATATCCCAGCCAGGGCCGGTTTTGACACTCCGAGTTTCACCTCGGTCTTTCTAGCATAAATCTGCCACGAACGCACGTGCCCGCTGCGTGAACGGGAGCCCTCGGCCAGGGAGCCGATACTTCATTTGAACTTCTCGGGTGAATGAGTCTGGCAAGCAGAACACGACCCCGGGATGTGTTAATGGGTTTAATTGCCTTAATCTGCCTTTTTTTTTTGATTCCAAATTCTTCCTTGGTGGAGCTGTACAGCAGGCACCTTAATATCGCCCTGGGTGTTTAGAGCTGCTGGTTGTACTTACATGCCTGCCATTAACACAAGTTGCCTATGTTGTGCTGGACTTCAGGGTCTCGTGCTTTGCGGTCATCTCTGCCTGCCGTATTTCTGTAACTTCAGCCTAGGATTTGACTCTTCAAATTTTCTCCCTGCTTAATGGTCAAAGCTCTGTCCTTTTGCTAAGTGTCAGTAGTTCATGCCTTTACCGCTGGCAGCCGGGGATTACTTGGTGTCATTACCCAGCTGTGTCCAGACCCCAGCACAGACAGAGACACCTTACCTTTTCCTGTTGTCGTAGGCTGTACCTGGTGTTTTCTGATACAAACCAGTTAAGCAACATACAATAGCTGTTGGTTAACGCTGTTATTTAGCTTGTACTCTCCTAATAGTCACCATTTTCAGTGTATAGAAGCAAACCCAGTAAAGCAACCGTATAGGAAACAAATAGCAGTATTGAACATCAACAGCAGCAATTAAAACCTGATCCCTGCGCTCTAAGCAGTTTGTTCAGCAAAGCTCCTTCTTTAAGCAAATGACAGGCCAAGGGTCACTGTTTGCCAGGCTGTAACGCAGCTGATTTTTTCTCAGCATACGCCCCATCTCTCATCCTGTCTTGTCAATTAGTGATAGTGGAGCCCACATTAAGACACGTAGGGAGCATTTCACTTCCTCTGGGTCATCAGTAGGAATTACTTTTTCTACTCAGAGTATTAGTTGGGGAGGGGGAAATGGAGAAAAAGGGACAAAAACATCCATTAAATCAGAGCACTAACTAAATCACAGGTCTTTTAGCAAACGCTAAAGAAAGGAAAGAGCCAGCTTTGTCTCCCCCTGTTCCCTCAGGGCTCCTGAACTTTCACTTAGCTTGATGAATGCCTCACAATGGGCATTTTATCTTATTATGAAGCTGTGAGTTGTGGCTCTGCTGCGGAGGGTCAGCTGCTGATTGCAGGGGGACAGGAAAGCAGCACTGTACCGCGCCTGGGCTCTGCTGCCTGGAGCATGCAGCTGTGCCGGAGGACTAACCCAGGAGGCACAGCGAGCAGGCATCGCGAGCAGAGGGTGCACGCTGGGGCGAAGCCACCTCTGCTGGTATGAATCGTGTGCTGGAAAGGGAAGCCAGCATGTGCTGATCCTTGGCAGGGCTCAGGAGAGCGCCCCAGGGCCAGTCTCTGCACTTGAGGATTTGAGCAAGTCACCCATTGCCTGGTGTCACATTTGACAAACACTGTAGATAGACAGTAACATGAGTGTCTTCCTCAAGAGTATGCAGCAAGTAGGATCTTGCTCCTTTAGGGACATCAACTCTACTTGAGTCAGTTACTTGCAGCCTGCCCAAGTCTGTCTGGCCTGCAGTTTTTGGCTGCTGCGTGTAACATCAACCACCTAACTCTGTACTAGGGTCAGAAGGTGTTGCTGCTGCACATACCTTCGTTCAGCAAGGCTGGCGACTCCTCCACAATGGCTTCTCCATCGCCCACCTGGGTCCTTGCGCGCAGGAAGAATCGGTAGCGCGAGATGGGGTCTGTCCTCTGCAGGGTGAACCTCGTCTGGTTGGGAGATAAGTTCTCCACCAGGATTCTGCCTGATTTGGATCCATTAACTGGGGAGGAAAGGCAGAGCGTGGAGGCTTCAGCTTTGTTTCGGAAACATGCTGTGTTATCCACCTCATCATCTCTCCCCTAGGACAGGACCCGCAGGCCATGTGAGGGCCACAGGGGGCTCAACAACTGATAGGCAATGGTGTTTGTTGGAATATACTTTGCCTATGGCAGTTGGTGACTTACTGGCTGGGGGAAATCTGCTACTGGTGAAATTCAAGGTTGTATGGTCAAACAGAGGTGTCTGAGCACTTGACATAAGTGCCAAGGTCTCAAACAGGGGAAGCAGTATTGCCCAGGCATCATGCCAGCCCCTGAGGACAGAGCACAACCCACGCCAGCAGCATCTGTGTTATAGAAGGGAGTTTGTGTCCGAGTGAGAAAAATAACACTCCTCAGCTTGCACTTAAAGTTCACTCTAAATTTGAGGTCAAACTTATTTCCTTCCAGTGGCTGAGTGAGTCCTGAGAAATACTGAGCACCCCCCCCCCCCCCCCCACAAAAAATGCAAACGGCAGATGCCCAGCACTGCTCCAGGCCTCCTCCCCAGCACCAGCAGCTGTTTTATCTTGTGGCAAAGGTCTCCAATTCCTTACAGAGAGCTTTCGGTGTTAGGTGAGGCGGTAACTCAGCAGCAAGGAGAATAGTTAATGAGGTAATTATCACTAAGAAGATAACATGTGGAACGTACAGGCTTGATATCTAAGGTTGTATCCTGTGAGGACTCCGTTAGGATGCTCTGGTTGATCCCATTCCAGATTGATGGTTTCCAGATTAGGCTGTCGGATTCTTAAATACCTGGGGGAGCTGGGCACTTGGGAGGAGGAGGGGGCCAGGGAGGAGAAGGAAGGAAAAAAAAAAACATAGAACATAACATACCTTACAATACTGTATATATTGCAGGCTGACTGATACAGTCAAGACACTTATTCGTACACATACATACACTGGAGGTCGGATACTGATGGAACAAGCATCTGCATCCTAACCATGCACCAGCCCAGAGTTTTCAGTAGCATGTGTGCAGGGAGCAGAAACCTGAGCGGTTGTGCTTTGCAGACCCAGCCATGTGCCATGGTGCTGGCACAGCACTTGTGCTGCTCCTCGCTTGCTGGGTACCGCTGCCCTCCAGTGACCAGCTCCATTAGTCACTCTGTTAGTCATAGAGCTGCTATAGCCATGAAGGGGAGCTGCTTCAGAGTTCAAGTCCCATTTCTGTACATTGTACACATACTTTACTGCTACTGGTGTCTTGTTTATAGCCCCTGCATTCATCCAGAGAGGCCTATCAAAGGTCTTTCACCATGTTCCTAATCTTACCACCAAAATAACGAAGTGCAGTGATGACCAAGATAAGTGTACGTCACTGTGTAATTGCAGAGTAGCTAGAGCCTGTCTCGTTTCTGATACAAGTATCTGTAAGGCTGCAGCCTTAAGTGTTTAAACCACCTTTGCCCACCAGCAGCATTTCTGGAGACACCTGTGTGGCTGCTAGGGAATCGCAGCAGTTCCCTCTGGTTTGCTGCAGAGCTAATTAGGACAGGTCCAGCCTCCCACAAGGCCTTAACCATCAAAGCATTTCCAAGAGTGTGAGCATTGCTTTCAATAAACTATGGATTATTGAGCATACATGGAAATCCCTACATGCTGCAGGAAATTACCTGTACTGCTGAGCCATGCCCAGTGGGAAAGAAATGGCTTTTTTTTTCTTTCTTTTTTGTCCCCTTCCCCCTGCCATTAGAGCAGGGTACCTTCCTAGCACTGATGAGTGGTGGGGTAGCCCCAGCAGCGTGAGGAGACACCGTGTTGGCTCCGAGTAGCACTTCAAATATAGACACTAATAAGTTATCTCCATGCAACTCTGGTCTTAATTCCTACACAGCTTCTCTGGCATATTCCCTTTTAAATATAGGGGTTTCTCTGGCTTTGCGCTCGCACAGTGCAGGCCAGGTTGTATTTTCAATAGATGGGGTTGCTCTGTACTGTCTGGCGCTGAAAGCTAGAGTCTCGTGTATCTCTTTCTGTTCTATCAGCCCAAGATGTGCATCTCATCTATTTATCTGTTGCAAAGGTACAAAACAGTATAGCAGTTGCTCTTATCAGAAGCTGTGTTATTAATGTCTAGAGACCTGTAATGAGGATCTCATGCTACGCACTCTTGAATTAGATTCTGTTACTCATAACTGCAGTGTTTTAACTGGAGAAAGAACCTCGCTCACATTCATTACTGATCGGAGAGCTCAATTATGGTTATTTTTTTTAAATGGAGGTTTTGCAGAGTATCATTCAATCTCCTAAGTGTCAATACACAGTTATTCTTAGAGGTATAGAAAAAAAAAACAGTCTACATATGACAAGAATATAATCTGCTATAATTGTTTCAGTCAATGCCACCCATATATGCCTCTAGCTACCTCAAATGGTAGATGCCTCTAACACGTGGTAAGCAGCTAAATCAAGATGTGCCTTATTGGTCCAGTATGGCGGTTTTGCAAAGTCCTTTCTTCTTAAACAAGCTTAATTGTAGCTGGTCATTTAAAAATCCTGAGCAGATGGGGACAGTATCCAAGAAAAGTTAAGGAAGAGAGAGAGAGAGAGAGAGAGAGAGAGAGACCTTGGAGAGATGCTGTTCTTATGCAGCAGGAATAGGAAGAGAATGAAGACGACACCATAGTAATTTTGGGTTAGTTGAGACTGGCTTCTAGCCTCTACTGCGTTCTCCTCTTGTATTTTAATTGTAACATACTGTGCCAAAAAATGTCTGTGCTAAAAGCAGATTCATTGCCAACCACCAAAAGTGCAGCTCCAACAAAAAGGTATTGGTGTGTCTATAAATAGCTCCTATGACAGCAAGGAAATTAAAATCTCTAGTTCATCCTTGACACAAGCTCTTTAAACAGACAAACGAGGTGTTCTTGCTTTAAAAGCCTGATAGGAGTGCGTATTAGTGACATCCTTTCAGAACAAAGATACTTAGGTCTTGCAAAGGTCTTACCACTTTTTTACTGAGCAAGATGAATATATTCACTCCTTTTTCACAGACCGAAGCACAGGGAGGGGAAGTGACATGTTGCAGGTCACGCAGCAGATCAAGGGCACAGTGCTGTGCCTCTGAAGAGACTTTGCAAACAGTTCTCTTGTTCAGCCTAAGAGATACTTGCTAGTGCGTTAAAAATACCTGAGGGGCATTTTAGATTAAGGCAGCGCTGTAGAGGTGGCTGCAGAGATGTCACTACCCGGTGGTGACGAAGGCATTCAGCAACGCCTTGTGACAGTGAGGCTATTCAGAAGCCGCTGCGCAGGCTCATCTACGCGTTTTTCCCTAGTGCAGTCTCCGCAGCAGCGTCACAGCCCAGCTGCAGAGCATTAAAGCTCTTGGTTTGCTCTGCAGAGCCGACGCTTCCCAACACCTTTCCCAGCCCGTGCACGAGGTCCGCAAGAGCTGGGTGCCTGCGACGCTCCCACGAGAACGTACCTCCTTCTGGGGTGGGGAACTCCTTCACTTCACTGCGAGGCCCATCTCCTCTCCCGTTGGTTACAACCATCTCAAGCTTGTAGTTGCTGTAAGGAAACAGCCGGGACACTATGCCCCGGTTTCGGTCTCCAGGAAAACTCACATACTGCCGTTTTTTGGAGACCCACAGGTTCTTCAGCAAACTACTTTCTCTCCAGAAATAGGCCTTCAAGAAACATGCATGGCAAGTGAAGCTTTTCCCATTTAAGTGCAGTTGTCTTTCATTAACAAAGCTTAGCGAAACTTTGCTTTTTCAAAGAGCAGCTTTCAGCTGCAGACCGCAAAGCCATTTAGAGCAATTAATGAAGCTTTGCAACCATCCAGCAAAGCAGGTCAGTTTGTTATTGAAGGAAGAGGCTGAGGCACAGAGAGGTTAAGTGCTCACCAAAGGTCCCACAGTGAATCTGATGCAAAGCTCAAGCTACAAAGAGCTGTTTCTGGCTTCTAGTTCTCAGACTCTAGCCATCAAGTGGCTCTCCCTTCCTACCTGGATTAGTAGCTTAGCTATATGTATGTAAGAAGAGGCGTGACATGTCCAGGCACAATGGAAAGTCTGAACTTGGAAAGACTTCAGTTCAAAGCCCTAGACTGTAACTCTTATTTCATGCAAAAATAAGATTCGTTTAGAAAACAGACTGGAATGACAGTGCAAAGGCAGAAAAATGAAAGTGGTACCCAAGGACCTTTCTTTATGCATAACCAAGTCTTGAGTTTGAACGCTGTTGTAACTGTTTTCAGGACGTGCGTTTGGTAAAGTCTTAAACTCTGGTAGAAAGGGCTCAGTCCAGACTTCTGCTTGTTTTGAACAGCGTCTATCCTCTGAACATAAGCACTGGTATTTTACCTTAGCTGTAAATACTTGACAGCAGAAGGAGAAAAACAAGATCCATGCTGTCTTTAGTTGTCAGTTAGTATGGAGACTGTTGGGTTTAGGCTTTTTAGTGGTTGGTGTTTGTTAAAACAGGCAGTAGGTACTCTGGGGATGACATAAAAACTAGCCTGTTTGTACCTATCTGAGGTGACTTTCCCCCAGTGCCGACCAGCCTGTGGGTGTTTCTGGGCAGCCGTGGAGACGGGAGGTGTCTCACTGCGAGGGCAGAGCCTCTGCTCACCATGCGTCCCTCTCCGGGGGCGCAAGGACAGTCCCAGCCGGGCCGTCCATGCAGCCCCAGGTCCTGCACGCAGGGCAGCACGGGGACGCGGGCCAGGCCCTGGCACCGGCCAGCACCGCGGCTTGCGCCGCCAGGGCTCCCACAACCGGGGGCTGCTCCAGCACGGAGCCCAAACCCTCTGTGGTCTGCCCCCAGCAACGAGGTCAGGGCGTGATGGCCAGAGGACAGTTTTCTGTCATCCCCATTGTAGACAGATCCCATCCCCGGAGCCACCTCTGTTTGTGAGAGGGTTAGCTGTATTAATAGGCAGCGCCGAGGAGATTTGGGTTTGCTCACTCTGTATTCCTTAAGCTGTCCCTGGATGGTGTCCAGGTGCACTCGGGTCCACGTGAGAGCAATTGCAGTGCTGTTTAAAACTCTTATCCTAACATCCGTAGGAGCAGCCTTGGGATCTGAGCGTTTGAAGGTAAAGCAGAGTGAACATTAGGCACCCCGGGGGTCCCCTGAGGGTCAGAGTGAAGACCCCCTCCTGCCCGCCCTCCCTTGGCTTGCTTCCCGCTGGTGCAGCGTTGCCTTTCCTGCGCCAGGCAGGGCAAACAGGGACCACGCGCGCGCCTGCTCTGCCATCTGCTGGCACCCTGCGCCTGGCTTGTCTACAGGCAGTATTTTCCTAGGGATGGAATTGTTTACTTTTCTCTCTTCTTAAATTCAGCTTTGAGGATTTCCAAACCTGATAAAATAAAACAGCAACAACAGGTAAATGCCGGACTTCTTGGCTAACCTCATTTGGAACGAGCACACCTCTGCTACGGTGCAAAGGCACAAAGCAGCACTACTTACCTCCTCGCCCCCTCAGCTGGATGTGCACGCTTTTAAAGATGACTAATATTTTAGCAGTGCTTCCACAGGAGGGGAAAAACATATTTCGTTCTGCCAGCTACTACTGGCATATAATACACCCAATCCATTTCACATCAGGACTTCCTACATGTTGCTGCAATGGATCACTTGAACAAACAAGCAAGGAGTCTGGCTCGCCTCCCTCCTCCCACTGCAGGTTAGCACAGAGCGAGTCCCAGCTGCTGACAGATCCAGCCCCCTCCAGCTGCAGCTGTTTGGGGCACTGTCAGGACCAGGAGTTACAAAACTACTCTTTGTTTTCACATCCACTGATCTAAATTTCGCTACAGCCTGCAGTCGGTCCATTTGGGTTTTTTTTAAACTCTTTTCTGCAGATCACCTGCTCGTATGTAGAAGTCTGGTTTGAATTGATAGTGTCTACCGGAAAATATCAAAGCATATTCCCCGAGGTTTGGGTTGGCTGAGGACATCAGCAAGCAGCTGTGTAGAGGCTGCCTGGTTTGCAGCCCTGATAAAGTGCTGGCAGGATCCAGCTCACAGCCCGGGAAGGCAGGTTTGGCAGAGCAGGGCTTTCCTACCTTTGCTTGGTGCGCTCTCCAGATGCTTCAGCATGGGACAACGCAGTTATTTGTGGGGCAAGTCAGTCACTTTCCGTTACAAATGGGACAGGACAGGGGCTACTGTGGCCGAACCTTTTCTCAAAGGCCAAATGCTCTCTGACCTGCTGTTTTGCTTAAATTTTAGCACCCTGGGCTTAGGAAGTCACTATGATGGGCACAGAACTAAATATAATTGTCTTTCCATCCTAGGTTGGAAGGAGTATGCTGACTATACTAAAGTGAATAGGAGAAAAGCAAGGCAAAGGTGCAGAGGCTCAGGAGAGCAGCAGCAGCACTTTAAGGTAGGCCATATCAATGGAAGTAGGGAAGAAGGGGTTTTTGTTTGTTTTGGGGTGAGAGGGTTGGAGTTGTTTTTTTTTTTTAAACCTGTCCCACACTTTGGGATAGAGGCAGGAACAAGCGCACATATGTGCGGGGTGTGAGATGTGAGCTCTGGTCTCCCTGAAATAAAATGCCTGTCTAACCCAAGTCTCACTTTGGTTTTCCTCCATGTAATGCACACGTGTACAGGCTCATTTGGATCCTCTCAAAACGCAAATTCATTGCGCAAGTTTTTAATTGAAACCAGAAAAAAAATACCCTTCATAGTGCATAGACAGATAATGCAGATAACAGTGCAGTGTCAGAGCAGTTAGGTGCTTGTGTAGCTTGTCCAATAATGACCCCCTCTACTAGGTACGGGCTGCTTTGAAGATTCAGTATTCAGCCCTAGACTCTTATCCTGACTCCTACAGTTTCTGCTTATCTGTCCCTCCAACTGCATTGTCTCCTCTAGGAGAAGACACCCAGTCGGTGCGGCGTACTGTGTGTGCTCTCTCAGCACCGAGATTGCAGATTTTTCTTGAAAGTGCTGTGCCCTTTTTGTGTCCCTGTGACTTCAAACCTAGAGTCGTGGATGGTTAGCTGGCTTATTTAGCTTAATTTCCAGTAATCTCAAAGTCATGTGGCCGGAATCAGTGGGGGGTGATATGCTGCCTTGAGAGGAACTAAAATGCATTTCTTTCTTTAAAAATAAAGCTGTTGACAGCAAGCCTAATATGATAAGGATTGTAATTCAGAGCCCTGGATGTTACAGGCACAGAAAGCAATATCATCAGTAGCCCAGAAAGAAGAGGAAAGGGAATTAAACAAGCTAGCCATTGTTCTACCTGGTAAGGTGGAAAGGCTTTTAAAGAAAGTTAAGCTGAGTCAATGGCGTGTTGCAAACAGGAGCCCAAGCTGTGACTTAGCCTGGGGCCTTACCAGAGAGGCACAAGAATCCAATCCAGGATGAACCAAGTTCAAAACCCTTAAGGCCAATTGCAGCACCTCTCATCCAAGATGCACTTGGTGCTCTACAAATGTCAAAGGCTAAAATCCTAATGCAGCTTATTAGAATGCAGCCAGGACTCGCTTTGATCAAGTCTTATCATCTTCCACATTGAAAGTGATATTTGGGTTTTGCAGAGAGCAAGGGAGAGGTTAAGTGATTTGGGTCATGCAGGTATCTGCAGACAGGGCTTAGAACAGAACCTGATAGTCAAGTCTCCTTCTTCAAATGCCGGGAAGTGGATTTTTGTGCCAAATAAAGCAATGCTGTGAACGTGTCCCAGGAACAGGTGCCAACCCCCTGACCTTGAAGGGTCCTCTGCCCTTCTGAAACATGAGCTTTGGCTGAGAAAGTACTCACAATCTTCCCCTGAATAGCCGATCACAGTGTCAGGCTCTGGGGCTCTGCCAAAGTCGTTCTCCGCCTGCACTTTGATCTCGTAGGGTACGTAGATGGGTGTATTCCAGACAACATGCCTTGGTGTCTTCACTGTCTCATTGTACCAGCTCCCTCGGGGGTCCCTTCGCCTCCATCTCACGATGTACCTGAGGTTGGGCCCATAAGCTTGAGTTGCGTTCAGAGGCTTAATGGACCAAAGTAAAAAAAGAAGGTGAGCGGGAGAAAGAGCAAATGTTTCTCTGCTCTGAAAAGTTCTGTTCAGCATCTGGTTCTTATTTCTTGCTCTATCAGCGAATCACAAAGGAGGTCAATACTTTTGTTCCCAGAGTGAGATATACCTATTGCCCTCCAGACCAAGGGCAGAACCAAGAACCATATCCACATGCCTTATGTTCCAGTCCATACTACCACTGCAATTTCTAGCCTCCCCTACGGACTTTGGCTTATTTCTGGATGACACCTTCTGGTCCATGAAAAAAGCGAGAGCTAGTATGTAAGCATTATAAAATCTGCTTAAGGAATCAGACTCTGTGAACAGCCTCCCTAAACTGTATCAGTTATCTAGCATCTTTTCTTTGACTTCCATTGTCACAAATTATTGTTTTTATCACAGACTTCTTGTAGGCCCTAATAGTGGCTGCTCTCTTAGATGCATCTTCTGCTTTTTATTCCCTTTACAATCTGAAGATTTATGGTATTCTATGTGGTACGTCACACGTGCTAGAGAAGCTGTGTCCTCTATATCTTAGCATCTGTGACTCTAACGGTGAGATGCTGGGTGGCCGTCAAGCGTCAAAAACCACTCACCGTCCAGGTTATCTCCATGTTGTTTCTTTGGGTCCCTGCTCCTTGAACTCCTGTTGGGTTAATTTCAGGGCCTGAAATTCACATGGGGGGAAAGGGGGGAGGCAGTTTGTAACGTTGAAAAATGACCATCCATTTGAGTGGTTAAAAAGCATTCACTGTGCAAGCCAAAAATACTTCCAAGACTATAGTTAATGGCCTGTTTTTTCCAGAAGTTTTAAGTTCCCATTCAGGTTAATGGAACATGAGATTCTCAGCACTTTTGAAAACCAGGCCATTTATTTAGGAGCCTCTTTTTTTTCCAAAATGTTGTCCTGAATCTTTAAAAGACACCCTCTGTGAACCAACCCCAGGAGCTGATTGAGGCTTACAGTCTGCAATCTGAAACAAGAAGGGTAGCGTCAAAAACCAACACTAGATGCCAGTAGATATTAGAGAAGAGTGTTTAAAATGGTTAAACTAAGAAATGCAGCACCACTGCAAAGCTTCCTGTAAGTTCCTCATATCAGTTTTCCCAAGCTTCTGCAATATATGAAGCACTGGGCACATAAATTGACGACTTGAGTCTTGGTCATGGACTGAAGTGCTCTTTAGTCCTGTGTTGATCTAGGCTCCTGGCCAGTTCTAGCACCAGACAATGAATTAGTGATTTTTAGAACAAAATGTCTTTTGCTTTTGGCCACTTTACATTGAGGTTCTAATTTTCTGAGAGACTTCTGAGCTTCCTGTGGTCAGAAAGGATGAAAGATCATCTTTAGAAAGCTTACTGGGCAGCGGAACTGGGCCTTCCTTTAATAGATTCCACTGGAATGACCTTAGCATAAATCTTTGAGTTTTGCTGCTCTGGAGAATATCAGTCATTAGCATATGACTGCATGGACCAACTCATTCTCCCACCTGTGTAAATCTGCTCTTGTTATAGCACCTGTAATCGTATACCACGAGTGAAGAGTCCGGCCCTACAGGGAGGCCAGCGAGGCTGGTGGCCAGCTGCTAAACACAAAGCCATGCCACCACAGCCACCTGGTGGAAGGTACTCACGCGCCCCGTTGGTCTGGTATCGTTCCGAGGGCATACTGGGCAGGCTGCTGCCCACATCGTTCACGGCAATCACCCGGAACTGGTAGTTGACGTAAGGAGAGAGGCTCAGGACAGCTGAGTTCACGCTCCCAGGATAGCTGGAGTGGTTATGCCACGTGCCAGGTTGGAACCGGTCCTCCTCGAACTGAACAATGTAGTCTGGGGGAGAGGATTGAAAGGTAAGATTAACAGCCTCGGCTCTTCGCCCTTCCAACCCACAAAGAAAGCGTTCCCTCCGCTTGCTAGAAGAAATCAGGCAGGAATACAGTCAAGGGGTAAGCAGCTGACCTGTGATTGGGCTGTTATTGTCATCGCCAGGTATCCATGTCAACCGCACACTCCTTTCAGCCAGGTCCGTCAGCTCCAAGTCACGGGGCCGGTCAGGTCGTTCTGTTGGCCAAGTAACAACAGAAGTTAGGTTGGGATTGTCACAGGACTTAGGAGTTCCAGTTCCCGTCTCTTCTCAAGGGGAGGTGAAGCCCTGGCAATCTTGGCCTAGACTAACAGGCGGAGACATGTGGTCTGTAGTTCACTTCACACGTGCCATCAGCTGGCAGTCTCCTCCAGTTCTTGGTAGACCAGTGCACTGTTTAAATCTAAATATGCTCACATACTAATTGTGCCTTGAATCCCTACCTGCTCTCTGTACACACTGATGTTATCTGACCTGGTGGAATCATGACAGTGGCTTAGCAGGGGAATATATTGTCTTTAAAAAAAACTACAAACAACTGTTCAATAAATAAATGCAAACACACAGAAGAACAGAAAGGACACAAAACCTAAATAAAAATACATACTTGGTTAAAAATGCTCTGGGCACAACTCTGGTTGCTTTATCTTGTCACAAACTACGTGCTTTTATAGACCCAGTTCATGCAATAACAGTAACACTAAACCCTTCTTTCCAGGAAAGGGTGAAGAGATTCAACATTTTATTTTTTTTCCTACCATCAGGGCTCACCATTTCCAGGCATGGGTAAGGCGATTCTTGCGCTCAAGAGTCAGCCCTGTGGCACACGAAAATGTGTCACAGGACCTTTCTACCCATGGCCATCTGGATTGGCTTTCAAGGACAACTTGGACAGGTCTTGGAAGCATCAGCTCCCAGCTTTTCCAACTGCTACACCTAGATTTTCTGTTGGAGTTGGTGGCAAGGCAAAACAAAATCCATTTACAAAATAAATTAAAATAAACCAAATGAATTAGTGATGATTACCTTTAGGTAAGTCTCTCAAACGGTTAGCAGGGACTGCTGCAAGGTAAGATATTGGTTGTTAATGGTGTTAGTTAAGTCATTAAGCTTGGGTGGTCAAAGGAGCACCTGGTAAATATAAAGTTACACACACAGTTACAGATTTCGGAAGGAACTGATTCTGCTTGAGGACCAGCGTCAGTATGTCCTTCTCCTAAAGACCCCCCCAGGCACTCTCTACACACCTTTCTTCATATTCCTTATACACAGCAGAGGGGGAAACATCAGCCTATATCGAGTTAATTAGCACTCAAGAGAAAAGGAAGGGAAAGAAATCAAGTCCAGTCAAATTATTAGGGACAAAGGATTCATGTTGCACTTCTACTTCAAAGGGCATTGTGGGTCTAAGCCAACAACACTTCAACAAGATTTCAGATGGCTGAGAGCAGGGATAGATAAGCCTGTGATTTATGAGTAGATCTGACAGTGTACATAAAACTCATTCCCCATATACGTTTAGGTTTGTTGCTCCTTACACTGAGAAAGGGGGAGCCCACAAAGCTAGGACTGGCTTATTCACCTTCTGGTTTTCAAATGTTGCTCAGCAACTGGAAGTTCAGTTAAATTCAACTGCAAATGTAGGACTGTTGTCACAGAACTTTCACATGTGGATACTTTAACTATCTGTAATAACTACTTGTTTTTTTGTCTCAAATGTAAATTTCCTTAGGCTCAAATTCAGTCCCAGTGTGTGAGTTTGGGATTAGGCAGCGTGTCTTTGCTGAATCCTGTATAAACTGCACAATTGCTCTGCCAGCATCTCACTGAGCATCTCTGCTTTACAGGACGATTCTATGATCACAAATCATCCTTTCACAATCTGACCTTGGTACTAAAGTCAGTCTGCTGCATAAAAAAACAAAGCACTTAGCTCTGTGTCAGTAAGCTGGAAGAACAGTTACCTAGTACGGTTAGGTAAGCTTTAGCAGAATCCTTGTCCAATTCAGTACTAGCTATACAGGTGTAGTCGCCTTGGTCTTTTTCAGCCACACCAAATATTGTCAGACCATCATCTTCTTTCTTCATCCTTAAGGGGAAAAAACAATAATTGCATGGCAGTGCGTAACAGCATGAGACAGCAGGATTTGAGTTTAACTGCTCTCTGATAAAATACACACAACAAAGTTCAAACAGAATGAGACTACATCTCCGGTCTGAAGATTTTATCAGCCAAAGATGCATTGAGTTATTCTTGGAAACCTCATTTCCGAAGGAATCAGACAGTCTGCTCTGGTATCTATCTGGAAATAATCACACTTTTAGGAAAACAGCCTGACTTTGGACTCGCTTGTGTCCCGTGATCAAATCTCATTTCATGAGAAGGGAGGCAGACTATGGAAAGGAAATTACAACTGTATTGCTCACAGCAGATAACCGTTAATTTTGAAGTAGTTGGTTATTAACCCATCTATTCTATCAAGGTGTTCTAAAATATTTGCAAATAAAACTTGAGCTCAAAGTCTCGATTTACTGCTAGTAAACTGCTAGTCAGTCTCTGTTCAAAGGAGCTAACATTAAAAGTAGCAAGCACAACAAATGTTGCCTAGATGGGAACTCTGTATTTGTCTAAATTATCCCTGGTGACTCCTGATATGTTCAACAGAGCGGGAGTAAAAAGTTCTACAAACTTGGGAGAGCTAAGATGCATGAAACCATTAAGCACATACCTGTTTCCAATATACAGAGGTGCATCATCTTTCAGCCAGGTGACTGTGAGTTTCAGCGTTGGGTCATGCTTTATACGACAGTGCAGGCGAGGCATGGAGCCCCTCTTCACCACTTGATCTTCTGGTCCTCTCACAATCCTAGTCGGATCTGCGTAGTCAAAAAGAAAGCATTAGACACCAAACTGTAGAGTCTAAGCTGGGGAAATCAACCAAGGATTGAGTAGAGCAGTATGACGTGGAACAGACAAGCATGCACATCAAATGACAGAAGCTTGTCCAGCTCCCTGTAGTCAATTGTCTCTGATACAAAAGTCTGCAGATAAGTTGGTCTATTTAACAAGCCTTTAGTTCATGCTGACCTTATAAAAATACTCAGTTTATCTATCTGAGTCAGCAAAAGAAGTTTGCTGAAAAGGGAAGACCCAGTAGAAACTTGCCTCAGAACCTGTTTTATTGCCATGAGTTAATCCTGTTGTACAGCTTGTATTTCTTTTTGCAATGCTTACAGCATCTCACAGCTCAATACCCATATTAATAAATGCTGTCAATACCCACATTAAGCCTTTCTGTGACTTCAGTATCCAGCCTTGTTGTTTTCAACATTAAAAATCCACAAAAGGAGAAAGGGAAACTCTGACATTTTCTGTATTCCAGTCTCTGATGTTCATACTGCCAGTCCTTTTGACAGACTGGTAGCATGCACAATCAACCCCCTTAACATAAATGATTTTTTAATGCTGCAACTTTCAAAACAGGCAAGAGAGTCTTTTGATCTAGAGACCTAAATGACCCTACCTTTGACCTCCAAGCGAACCTGGGCCTCTGCTTTACCCAGGATGTTGGTAGCGACACAAGTGTAGATGCCCTGGTCCTCTTTCCGAGCCATGTTCATTTCCAAGCTCCCGTTTTCATGTGCCTTGTAGTTTCCTCCATCCAGAGTGTTTCCCTGGCCATTCTTAAACCTCACAACAATACAAAGTACTATTTGTAAGGGAAGAAACAGCAGGAAACTGCACCATCCTGCCCCCCCTGAAGTGGGTAGAAGTGCTGCGGTTCTTACCATCTGAGCGTGGGGATTGGGGAGCCAAAGAAGGGGCAGTCGAGACGAGTCCTGTTGTATTGAATGACTTTGATCAGCTGATTGCGAGGCGCTAGTATCCGTGGAGGCACATCTGCAACCAACAACAATCAGTCATTGAAAAATAAAACAAACCAGTACCTAGAATAATATTCTATTTTCCGGCTTTTCCTCCACCCTCCCTTTTTCCTTCAGTTCAGTGTTCTTTGTTCACTCTGTCCAGACTTAGTACAGCTTCTCCATTCTTTTCCATCTCTCCTTCCCTTTCTAGCCTCAGTACATGAAACGTCTTACATCTTAGCACCAACAGTATGTGCTCACCCATACTGGGCTTTGTATGTGTGACCTTTTAAGTCTGCTTTAGCAGAGGGGCTATTGCAAGCTTTGCAGGAACATGACAGCGGACTTTTGATCTGAAGCCCAATGCATAGGTCAGGTAGGCGTGTATGTTGGTCTCAGAATAGCTAACAACAAACAGAAAGGCAAATAGGGAAAGCTTGCAAGGAAAACTTGAGTATACTTGAGCTATTCGTCTTCTATAGGAGTGAAAGTAGGAGCCACTGTTCTGCAGTAAAAAGCATCTCATGAAATGAGAGCTTACTGGCTTACAGTCACTTCAGGGCTGGCCTTAGAGAGGCTCCTTCCCTATCCACATGCAGAATCCACAGCTCAGGGCTGACCGGTCGCAGTAGGTACTTACCTAGGACGCTGACAAAGGCATTGGCGAGAAGGTATCCATGCTCGTTGGAAGCGTTGCATTGGTACACGGCACTGCTGCCAATCTGGGTATCTCGAAATACAATGGTGTCTCCAGCCACTTCACGGCTCGGGTTGGGGGGAGAAGCTTGAAAACACAAGGGACAGAGAAGATGCTTTAGTAGGAAATTAAAATTTACAAGGCTCTAAATTCTGTTACACATCTTTCCATCTCCGCCTAGCTAAAAACAGACGAGGACACATGACCTGCCCTGACTACAAAGAAATGGTTCACCTGACCTCATCTCAAACAAGCAGGTGGTTCACGTGCTGCAGTGCCTGGACACAGCATGCACACACATCAGCAGGGTGCCTGGCACCCTGACAGCAGCTCTGGCTCTCACGTTCAGACACTAGATCCTTGGCTACTTTGTCATGAAGAAGTCAGTGCTTACCTTCTATAGGCTCTCCGTTCACCAGCCACTGTATTGTGGGCTTAGGGTTTCCATTGGCTCGACAAACCAGTCTGCCATCCTCTCCAGGGGCCAAAATTAGGTTTTGGGGTTCATCCAACCAATACGGAGCAGCTTTGAAATACATAAACGTACCAATTATAAATGTAGCATTGCTAGCTCCTCCATAGTCTCCTCCCCACTGATAGGTTCTATAGGCCAATTCTGCAAAGCATTCCCTACCAAATGCTTATAGAGGAGAGACAAGAGAGTTTGCTTGTGTAAAAGCACTTTCACTACCTGCCTGCCCTTGTACACCAGCAAACTAGCATGGCTGTGCTGAATGACAAGAGGACTGTCTGATGGAGCTGAGGGAAACCTTCCCAGCCAGCCTCGGCACCAGACCCAAATGCCACCTCCGGAGCAGGGCACACATCTATGCAGCCTGTCCTGCCGCTTGGCGTCTCAGAGCATTATGAACTGGGAGCAACTTCCCTGCCCACACACTGCTGAACATAGAGAATAATAAAACAGTCCTCTCTTGTGGACCTTTTTGGGTCCAGGGAGAGCAGGGAGTCCTCTTCATTCACGCTCTTCGGCCTCGATCCTCCTGCTTTGTACGCAAATGCGACTGCTCATATCAGTGGAGCGCTACTGAACTACGCCAGCTGAGACCAGCAGCTCTGACTGCTTTCAGGTCTGTTTGGACAAGAAGCAAATATTGCTGGATATAACAGCACCCAGCTCATGCAGAAGGCCCAAGTCCCGCTTTCAGACATGCTGAAACAACTAAGAGCAGTCATTCCCATGCATCCTGCCTCAATTTCTGGTTAAAGAAGTAAAAAAAGGTGGCAAGGTAAAGATGACATACCCTTCACTCTCACTGAGATCGTGTGGCGGATGCTGCCCATCTTGTTAGATGCCAAACAGAAATACTCCCCGGAGTCCTCCTCTGAGACGTTGGAGATACGAAGGGCCTTGTTAAAGTTTTCCAGCTTGGTTTTACCTGCTGGGAGCTCTCCTCCTTTCTTGTACCACATGATGTCTGGCGCTGGTCTAAGGAGAGGGGAGGAAATAAACGTCCTTGCAAGACAAGAGAAACGTTCCTAAGAAAACAACATCTATATTCAGGCACTCAAAACCATTCAAACCCAGGGAGAAGGACTGGCTGAATAGCTGGGACACCCTCCCTCCCTCCCACCACAGCCCCTAATCCGGGACTCTGAACATCGCCAGCTGATCAGGAGTAGATTTCGTCTGGTGCCTTGTGCCTGGACACAGAGCAGTGGTCTGGCTGCGTCGGCACGCAGCATCTCGCAGCGCAGCCCCAGCAGTGCTGTGACTGTCCCTGCCCAGGGTGCTTCTGCAGGCACACAGACCGCAAGTGCCATCTCCCACTGTTCATACAGTACTGCAAGGAGCACCTAGGAGGTTTGCGAATACCTATAAGGACAAATCAATGGGGAATTATCCATGGATTTTGCCAGCAGGCAAAAGATAACTTGCTTCTCTGAACCCTGCTGCAAAACTCAGCTTTCCTTTTCAGTGATTCAGCATCTTGGTCTGCAAAAGCCCAGGTCCCAGGCCATCCCTTTGGGGGTGCTGGCGACCGCCCTCTCCCCGCCTCGAGCCGCAGTACATACACTCCTGAAGCAATGCACTCCAGCAGCAGGTCCACCCCGCGGAGCACCATCTGGCTGCTTGACGTCCCGTATGGATACATGAAGCTGGGAGTTGTTTCCGTAATCCCTCGGGCTGCCATCAGCCGGAAAGAAAAATAAAAAAATACAGTGCTTTTAAGCACTCCACAGCAACAGGGAGGAACACCCAGGGTCAGAAACACACAAAAGTTTCAGGAGGAAGCTGTCAGGTTCCTGCACGAGCTTGCAGCTGGACGTAGGAAAGAAAACGCACCTAGAAAAGTACCTGGGGAGCAGAGAGGGGCACAATGCACATTTTTAAAGTAAAAAACTAGAAACAGAGAGGATTTTTGGCAGGCAGGAAATACAGTCAAAACATGAAAGAGAAGAGAGATCTGGCAAAGGCAGCTAGGCCGTGGGGATGGCACGTCGGGAGAGCCCCGCGCTGGCAGCACCATGCCGGGGCTGTGCCTCTTCTACCTACCTGTCCCTCTAGCAAAGAGCACGGTAAGATCCAGGCAGAAAAGAAATCAGCTGAAATCAAATGAGATTTGGAAATACCGACGGACAAAACACTTAACAAAGGACAGAAATTACAGGCAAACGGGCACAGGAAGGGTTTAATCTGACAAGTGATCTGCCTTGCCGCAGAGGGGATCGCAGCGCAACGGTGGGTCCTGCGGCAGCGTCTGGGGCTCTATCAGCGTCAAGCCGTTTTGCCACGCATGCCACGAGCTGCTGGGCCTGATGGGGCAGCTCCCTTCGAACAGGGAACGGGACTGGAGAACGTAGCGGACAGCGGCCACAACGACAAACACCGTGACGGAGCGGGAAAGTTTGACGGGAGGCAACCAGGGGAAGACGTAAGACAGCTGTCTACAAATACACACAGTGAGGGTCCCCTTGCAAAAAAGATTGGAATTATTAAACTGAATCAGTGAGGACATAACAAGATGAGATGGGCTTGAAAGCAGCAGTAGCAGAGAAGGAGGTTATGAGATTAGGAACAAAACGGCCTGGGTTGACATAGCGTCGCCACAAGTACGGAAGCGATTCGTGGGGAGAGACCACGGTCATTTGGGAGCGCTCCAGCAGGGCCGTGGCGGAGCAGCCCGAGCCCTGGCCCCAAACGGTTCATCAGCTCGATGAGCAGGACGTAGCCAGGCACGTCCAGCCCACCGCGGCTTTTTGCTCGGCACACGCGAGAGCTGCTCCTGCAGCGCCTGGGGATGCCCACCTCTACACGGGGGTTGGTACAGGAGAAGGGCTGCAAAGAAACGGGGGAGAGAGAACGGAGACTATTTATGGAGTCCGTGTCAGTCTGCTTCAGGAAAAGTTTGTGACCAGGCCCCTCAAAAGAAGAAAAACCAACAGGAGTTAAACTGAGATGGCTCCAGACCAGCAGGAGCCCAGCCACACGCACACCCCACGCAGCCTTGCACCGCTGGCGGGCAGCCGGCGCTGGTCAAAGGGTTAGTCTGTTATGTGATTAATGGATTACCATGGCAGACAAATCTCGGCCTTATCTTGATGGGACAGTAGGCTGGACAAGGCCCTGAACGCCCCTGGTTGGTTTGCCTGCTTCTGGAGAAGTTCTCTTTCCCATGTAAAGCCAATGCGAATGCACTGAAATTAGACTACAGCAGCAGTGGTTGGAGTTAAAGTCAGTATTTGTCAACAGCTGCCGTACCTCTGGCCAGACTCATGACGTTCGCTCTTCTCACGTGATTAGGAGTGTGGGATATTATGTTATAAGTAAACATTGGCTTTTATTAGCCAGCAATTTGCGACCTGTTTGAATGGGCTGCAGGTTTCACTCCTGTGCTGAACCCATTTGCTCAGGAGCCCAGGGCATAACTAGAAGAGATAAGCAGCAGTGCAAGCCAATTTTACCAGCCAGGTATTAATGATGAAAATTAAAAATAAGGAAGATAAATTAGTATTCTATCCACTTGTTTAATAGACCTAACAACAACACTGCATAGCTGATAAGCTTTTGCCTTAGTATAGCACTACTAAATAAGTATTTGGCTATTTATAACAGGGAGCAGCCAGAACGCATCTCAGGCGGATGTAACATCCCAGCTCCAAATTCACAGCACCTACAGCTGCAAGATGTCAGACAGTTAGCAACGTCTCACTTATCTGCTTGGATGGAACAGACCTGGAAAAATAAATCCCATGGATATTTATTTCTGCTGAAAAATAGACTCTGCTTCTCATATATTGCTGCTGTTGCCTCCACCTCTGCAAACCTGGCCTCATTCAGCTCTGAACAGGATATCCCAGGAACACGCTGGCGTAGCCATGTGCTTCCCTCCCCAGAGTCCTGACCTGAGCTTTTAAAAAAAACGTACATCAACTTGCAACTCCCTTCAGCTTAAAGGCAGTAATAGGAGACCGCACATCCAGAGAGAGCCCGTCTGTTTACTTCCTGTGCAACTGGCCAGCTCTAAATCGTCCTACAGGTTTGCCAAAAAATTAAAAAAAAAAAAAAAAAAAAGACTTTCATTTCCACGTTAAACAAGGTGAGAAACTTCTGGAGCTAGCAGAGGGTTCCCAGCTAATGAAACATTCAAACCAATTAATCCTTTGAGATCGTTTTTCCTTCCCAATTGCAGAACAGTTTGCCTAGGCAATTAAGTTTCCCTGGCTGGGGCCACCAACACCCGCTCTGAGCCAGGCTGAGCCGAGCCGTGGCACGACGCGGGAGAAGGCGCTGGGGCATCCTGTGTGACTAGCCTACCCTTGGGCTGGCTCGGCGGTCTCACCAACCGCTCGCGCACCGCTCCTGCAAGCACCATCTCGCCAGGATGAGCTGGGCTCCGGCCTGGCTGACGGAGACCAGCAGAGAGACGGGGGGAAATCACAGCCTCCAGCTGCTCGAGTTTCTCTTCCCCGCTCCCCTTTCGCTTAAGACAGACAACCTGGTGTGCTGCAGTCTTCTCTCTGGCAACTGAAGCTAGCCAGATCATTCCGGGGAGAAACATGCAGTTATCAAAAAAGAGAAAGTGCCAAAAGAATTTTTTCACCAGTTCATAAATCTCTAAGCAGCTCCTGGTTTGTAGCTCAGTTTTGCACAGTCCAATGAGAGGGTCTTGGATGGTTGGTCTGAATCGACTGAACACATAAAACATTCCCAGGCATGTTAAGTTTCCATACAGTGCAAGCAGAAGGCAGTTTATTCTACATACCTATGAAGAGAAACAAGTAGATATCTCTCAGTGTAGATATGATCTGATTTTCCTAACTGGGAGACTGACACGTAGCTGCCCTTTTCTCTGTACAAACACACGGAGCGGGAGACTGAGAAACCCACAAACTCCACTGAGCGCGTCTCCCTCCCGAACCCGTGAGCGCTGCGATACAAAAATTGTGCACAGGCAGCGTAAAAGCATTCGCTTTGAAATGCAAACGGCGTTGGCACTGCTCTCTTAGCTTAGAGGAGTAGTAGGATATATTTAAGGAGAGCTCTCTGCAGGATTTTCTCTTCGAGCTGTTGCAGACCTCGCGCGTGTTCAGCGTGCCTACGAGCGGAGGCATTGCCTCTCATTGATTCAGTTTATGTAATCCCCACTGAAGCTCATTTTGCTTGCAATCCCCTTTCAAAGCCATTCGTACAAATATTTTCAGACTCAGCCCAGCCCATCTTCTAACACCACTGCTTCCTCGGGAGGTTCGTCAGCCTGCTGATCCTTCTCCAGGCTTTGAGTGTGCTCAGTCCTCCTCAGCCATCCCAGAGAAACCTCCCCCTCAAAAGCAAACTATTGCCAAGAGGGAGCAGTTTCCTCTCGTCTGAGGGGGAAGAGAAATTCGCTTGCAGCTCTGCCACTTGGCAGCAAGCATAGGACGAACGTGTCCCCTGCAGTTGCTGCGCTAACCCAGATCCCCCTCGCTCAGCTTTGGGAGGCAGCAAGGACCTGTCAGGATCTCAGTTACTGAAATCCTGCTCTTCCCGAATCAAGTAGGTGCTTCAAGCTATCAGGAAAAATGGGATATAGCACCATTTAAACTGTATTTGTGTTTGCAAGGCCCCGAAACGCACCCTGGCACCTGGTGCCAAGGAAGCGGCAAGCTGGCTCTGATACCGCAGACATGGTGCCGGGGCACAGGGTTGTCACCTCCTCGTTCCTGCTGAGCCTCAGGGCACAGAGGATGCCTTCACCTGCACCTGCTAGTTCAGACCTGAAGAGACCTGGTTGCCGGAGGGGATCATGGGATCGCTTTGAGGACCCGGCACTCTCCACGCCTGCTCCGTGCCCAGCACGAGCTCTGCAGGCTGGGGACAGATCAAGAGAGCTGCGCCCACTTTTTTCCCCGTTCTTGCACCATTTCTCAGGTCATTCCGCCTCGTGCTGCCCATGGATTTTATTGAGTCTTTCTTGAGGTTTGCTACCTCAAGGCAGAACCTCAGCTCCTCACGCGAACACCAGGCCTTGCTGCTTGCATGGCGACTTCTCCACCACGGGCTGCGTTTGTTTTATACCAGCAGGGAGGCAGGAAAAGCAGGCGAGCGGCCTTCTTAACTGCCCATTAGTTGGAGAAATGCAAATGCAACGGGCTCTGTTCCTCCACCCTGCGTCATCAGGGCAGTCAGCACTTCTTGCTGAACAAAGCAGCGCTTCTGTCACCATGCGGCGGTGGCTTCACGTGACCCTGGTCCCTGCAGGCTCCAGCTGCCTCCTGACCGCTGGTGAGGTGCCAACGTCCCTATTTCTGAGGCAGGGAACAGGGACACAGGCTGCCCGCCACGGAAGAGGTCTCTAGCAGGACTGCAAACTGAATCCCAATGCCCTCACCTGTCTTATCCTTCTTTTCTAGCACTCCAAACTCTTTTCTTAGCTTACAAAAGCGTTCTTTGTCCCCAAAAGTCTCTACGGAAGAAGAAAGTGTGCCCTACATTGCATGGGGGAACAAACGAACCTCCTCCTCCGGGTGGAAAGCCGGAGGGAGCACGACGCAATGCAGGCTGATCCGAGAGCTCTCGGAGCAGTATCCCGCCGCATGGCACGGGACCTCTCCCGGGCCGTTCCCGGCATCGCTGCAGCACACCGCTGGCCCACGTCAGTGGGAAGAGGGGGAGAAAGCAAATCCTCCCCAGCATCGCCACCTGGGCAAACAGACTTTGTGTCGCTGCCGAGACGCTGTTCTCACTCTTGCCTCATCTGGCACAGGGCAACGCTGCTGGCTGGGGGGCGGTACATGCTAATACTCTCCTTGCCAGTGGTATTTCGATGGTCTTTGGTGAGGCTTCCACATACTTGGTTACACTTGTGCCTTCAGCATCCTATGCAAACACCCCCGTTCCCCCCCCGCAGTGGAGAAGATCCATGCTGGTTCCTCACCTCTGCTTATATTGTCCCATCTCTTCTGTGACACTCTCCATCTATCTCAGGGCAGCAACTGGGCCCAGGGGAGCTACGCAACCACGTACCTGAAGCTTAATTCATGAGTTTGGTACAGGCTTTCCCCAGCAAACTGTTCTCCAGAGGAAACCTCCCGGCTCAGACAAACGGGAAAAAGGATCTCCCAAAAGCATTCAACACACGCATAAGCTCCCCACAAAGAAACAAAGCACTGAGCTTTTGAGAAAACCAAATACTTCTTTCTTCCTCCTAGTCAATGCCTATGTTTAGCTGAAAATACAATAGATGCTCTTTCTGCACACGGAGAAGAGATCTTGGGTATTATCTTTAAATCGTGAGCCCTCTCTGAAGGCAAACCAACTCTTCTGTGGGGGAGCAAGCTGGCCTCCGTTCAGCCGTACAGACTTTTTCACTTGGTTCAGACCCTATTAATCCAAATACTCCTAAAGCTGAGCTCTGCATATCCAGTTAATTAGCTTAATCTCAACCATTTTAAGATGTCAAAACTTTTAGGGGCTTGTGTTCCTGTTGGGTTGATTTCGTCACACGGCTTTTGTGAAGTTCAGACTATGAATCACAAATCAGAAAAAGGAGCACATACGTGCATACAGCATGTGCGTATGTGCACACAAGAGATATAGGAGATGCTGCTAACACATCAGCTCCTCGCCCGGTCCCTGGCCGACCAGCTAGTGGTGTTAGCGCGGAGTAAGTCAGGTTAGGTAAAACGGGGTTAGGACATGAAGTTCTCCAGAAGTCAGTGTTGACTCACCACTGTACATGTCAGTGTGATTTCGAAAAGACGTTTCATTATGGGGTTTCTCTGTAATAAACAAAAGACCATGAGCATACCAAATGCGCCAAAGCATGCACGGAGCACCGAAAGGTGCAGAGGGGCACAGGGGAACAAGGAAGAAGACAAAATGAAACAAAAAAACCAAAGTAACTTCCCAAAAGGTAAGAACAGCGCAAGACAGGCAACATGAGCAATACAAAAGCACTCTGAACACAACTGTCCAAAAAGACAAACAGCAACATAAGACAGCAATAATGGAGAGGAAAAATAAGACTGCTTTCCAACTATAAAATGGATAAACAAATAAATAGATGAAAAAAATCAAGTAATTGTGTCATAAACATTTCCTTGAATTGAAGGGTTTTTCTTTTGGCTTAAAGTCATCTGTATCTTTGAAAAAAAAAAAACAGTTCATTTTTGAGAAGAAAATGTTTTTTCTCTCAGTTTCTTAACTATGAAGCAAACATATTTCTGTTACTTTTTGCCAGCACAAAACATACGCTGGACACAGCCAAGCGACAGCATAATCACGCAGAAAGGCATGATGAAGGCGAACAAATAAAAATAACAATAATAATTAGGCTTTAAAAGCATAATCAACTGTAAAATTGCTTTTAACCACAAGGTAATTAAGTAGATTATGTTGCATGCAAAATACCAGCTCTTCAATGACATACTGCTCTCATTTATTGACAGCCACTGCCAGCCAACACCTATCCTTGAAAGAGAAAGCTAATTGCTCTCAGAGCACTGCGAGGAGACGGGGAGATTCGCCATCTAGGCCCACAGCTGCTGCAGAAGAGCCAAGCGAGCTCGCATTTACTGCGCGCTGAGATCCACCTTCCTATTTTCACATTGCCTGTTACGTTAAACATCGTTGTGGAGCGTGAGAACTCCCCGGTTTCTACTGGGCTATGGCACAGCCACGTCACAGCCATCATCTACCGAGCCGGGGATTTTAGAGCAATTAAAGAACAGGCTATGCTGGTTACAATACCGGTGTTGACCTGAACCTTCAGTCATCAGCTCACACATGGTTTCTATGCAGAAGGGTTAAGGGAGCTCACCCAAAGTCCAAGAGCTGCACGAACTTGGGTAAACTAGAGAAACCCTCTACAAGAAAAGGCACAGATGTACCTCTCCCCCAAATTTTTTCCATTTTTCTGTTCTTGCATACAAGATCATGACAGGCAAACGCAACAATTTTTCAGCAGCAGGGTGCACCTTTTTTTTTTTTTTTCCAAGACAGCCAATGCCCATTAAGGCAGAGATCACTGAACAGCTTGAGACAAATACAAACACATCTCCTTTGAACACTGTACAGATAAAGAATATTTTATCATAACAGACAAGAAATTAAAGCTTCAGTGCTTTAGCTTGTAAGGGCCTCTGGGGAGCTTGTGGGATGGCATTTGCATCTTATAACACAGCAGACATTTCCAAAGGAAAACTTGAGAGGGTCCAGGATAACTGGAAGCCAGAGGACAGCAGCCTTAATGAGACTTGTTAAGAGCCCAGGAGCACAGATGCTGTGGAGGCATCTGAGCGTGGCTGCAGGAGGAGGGGGAGCATTTATAGCTGTATTTCAGATGGCTGTACAGAAATCTTCCAGGATTTCTTCCACACATTTTTTCTAGAGCTTGATCAATATGTCAGGCTAAAGCCTTTGGAAGCACAAAGGAGCACAGGTCTTTGTTTGCCAGAATTTCTCCAGCTCACGCTAATTTAGGACTCAGCCCTTCAGTTACAGATAAACGCTGTCATTATTTGACCAGCTCTGTAAATGGGCAAATAAAATTCAGAGTGAATTGCCTGCAGATATTCCTCTCCATTAGCAAAGAGTCTATGTATAGTACTTAGACTGCTGTTTCGCCACTCATGCTCTATATAGAGGTGAGGGTGTTGCAAAAAAGGTGTAAAATACTAGAGGCCCAGTCTGCATCTCACACCAGTTTTAGGTCACTGCTGTCAGAATGCTTTAATAGAGTTAATTCTATTTAAAGCTGTTGTGAGAGCAGATTAAGCCCCTAAGCCTGGGATTCAGGAGTGCTTCATGCCTACTGTGCATGACAGCCTGCTCCCCAAAACACATCCTTGTATCTGCCTGAGTACACGACCCCTTCCTCTCTCAACGACACAAAAGGTAAGTGTGACCTTAGCAGGAAGATACTCTTCATCTGGCTCCTATCTGATGACAGCACCCATACGTGCCATCCTGTGTTGGCCTCAGCTGAGAGTGTGCCGGGTGCTGTACGTGTAGACGAAAAACGAGAGAGAGCCTGTTCTGGAGGACCTGCATCGTCTCCTGTAGCGCTCAGCTCACATCCCTCTGCCAATGTTCCCACCAACCAACTGGCATGACATTTGGTAGCATCAGAAACTTGCTCTCTTTAAAGGAGTCTCCTTTCTGGAGGAGAGACTTGGGGTGCCTGGACCCGCCCACGGAGCATCTCTTCATATGGCTATGAATGAACGTGAATTATACGTGTGCTCCTCCTGTCCCCAAGAGGATGCTCTTCATTGGGCTGAACCTAAGATCGCCAGCCATCCTGAACACCTTCCACATGTACATGCTCAGGCTCCAAAGGGTCAAGCCCTCCTGTCACCAGTCCCTAAAGTCAAGGAGCTAAACAGTAGCTCCTGGTCAGCAGGTAATTTTGAACTGTGTGAGGAGGCTCATTAATCGCAAAGTTGACACACGCTCCAGGCCCCCCTCGTGCAGGCTGGCAGCAGTGCAAGGCTGAATCCACCCTGGGCAGAGGCGAGTGAAACGCCGCTGCGGAGAAAGGAGCTGCGGTTGAAACAGGACAGAGTTGGGCCCGGTGCTTTCTGCTGTGCTGATGTCAACTGCAGAGGACTGAGCCCACACCTCTGGATGCCCTGGGCTGATTAAAACATCCACATATATGCTCACCCACTAATTCAGATGGTTTACAAAGATGTTCTTACAGCTAATTAAGTAAGTAAGGCAGCCAAGGACATAATTCCAAACCTGGGTTTCCCATAAACCTGAGCCTGGAGCAAACCAAAGCTATTTCCCACATTTAAAACTAGGAAAAGATCACCTCATATTATACATTTCCCTAAAGATGGAGGGAACTGTCCCATCCGTGTTGAGATGCTTTGAGGTTCTCTCAGACACACAGATGTAGTGATACTTGCACACAGCTGTCTTTGTAGCCCTGCCACCCATAAAGCTGCAGAGCTAGCAAAGCTCCGAGATGTTGGAAGGAAATCAGCTTCCCCTCACGCTCATGTTAGTAGTCCAAGCACTATCCTTCCTTATCCAAACAAGTTCTTATACTATCTTAAACAAAATGATAGACACCACTCTTCTGCCTGGTAGGTTTCAGGGCTGTTGGGGACCTGTACAGGGTGGCCTGTAAGGAGAGCCATGCAAAGAGTGGTCAGAGGAAGACCCATTCTGAGTGATCACCATGACACTTACTGGTTTTCACCTTGAGGGTGTACGGGTTTTTCTGCTGAATGGTGTGGGTGAAGTGGAAGCGTGCATTACAGCTGTAGTCTGTCTGGGCATCTTGCAGCAAGACGTTGGAGAAGTACAAGTCCCCATTCTGGCCTTGGGAGACACGCTTGTCTTGGTGGATTGGCTCCATGGCTGCACAAGAGAACAGGAATTCAAAGTCAGTCAGAGATGCCAAAAGAAACATCCAGAGCTCCTGGATGCTCCTGTTGGTGACTGCGTAAAGGAGAAAAGTAACCCTCTGGCCTAAGCCACGTGCTGGTGACTCCACGCTGTAATCTAGCAGTAATAACTCTAAAGATAATTATTTTAAATAAACAGTGCAGGCAACAGAGGTGATCCCCTCAGGGAGTGAGGGTTCAAGCTGGGAAGGGGCACTCCCCCAACTTACAGCTGCTCATCCAGAAGATGACTGGAGAAGGCAGGCCAGGAGGTGGGTTGCATTGCAGGCTAAGTGGAGCGCCTTCATCAACCTCTATCACATCCACCTTTTCCTTGGGCCACAAGGGAGACTCTGTGATAAGAGGAAAAAAGATACAGCATGTGATTGTGTGAGGAGAGATTAACTTTGCACATCTCTTCCCTCCCTTCTTCCCGCTGGACCTGGCCTGGTTTCAATGGAATGGCCTTGATGCAAACTTTATTTCTATATGTGCAAGATTTTCTGACGCAGGTAACAAATGAAGCAGGCTGAGATATTTGTGCACTGAATATTTCCCATGCCTCTTCTACAAAATCCTGTATGATGCAAATATTGACTGTACGCCTTAGGGCGGCCATCTACCGGGCTTGTTCCTCTGCCAGGACTGGGCAGGGTGCACTACTCACTAGAAACCTGGAGGTGGATTTTGCTGGAGAGCGCCGTCCCATAATCGTTCCGTGCGAAGCACTGGTATTCGCCCTCATAGTCCTCTGGCCGGCCACCACTGTGGAAGTCGATGACCAGCGTTCCTGACCGCCGCCGCATCGACACTTTCGGGTCCTTTGCCACATTGAAGAACTTCCCATTCCGCGTCCATGAAAAGCTGCAAGCATCGAGGACACACTTGTTTTGCAGTCATACACTATATTTACATGGTGACTCCAGTGGAAGCATAGCCAACTTAGACCTGCAGCAGGCTGGGCTCAAGGAGGCTTCTCTAGAGCAAGTCTTTATCTTTTATTGGCTCTAACAAACAGCACAACTTTGGTATAACAAGAGCTTTAGATGCACTTACGTGGGAACAGGATTCCCTTTAGCTTCACATTCGATGAAGATGTTATCCCTGGGGTCGACGATGTAGTCCTTCACAGACTGCTTGGTGATTGTGGGGGGCTGAGGCACTGCAAGGCAAACAAGAAGAGGTGAGGAGGGTGCAGAGAGGAAGAAATCTCTCTCTTCTGTCCTACAGCAAATCCTGCCAGGCTCCTGGCCTTGTCCCCAGGCTGGACATGCTATTTGTAGACTAAAACCCTTTAAGACCTGAGGAAATTACCATCAGCGTTGGTGGGCTGTGTACCGTTTATCGTCTCTCAGATCACTGGTGTTGCTTGGTCTCCCTTTCAGGACTGAGAAGCTCATATTTCTTGCTTGGTATCTTGGTCTCATTAAGAAAGCTCACAGTTATTTCTTCCTGCTACCAACAGGTCATTTGAATCAGACTGACAGATACCATACCTGTGTACCTCCAAAAAAGAGGCTGCAGCCATGACATAGAAACAGAAAGCTGCTACAAGAAGTTTACAAGTACTCTCCAAGCAAGAAACAGGCCCAAAAGCTCCCAGGCTCACCCAAAGAGAGTACAGCAGCGGTGTTTAGGGCCTGTGAAAAGGGGCACACCAGCCTAGCAGCCGAGCTTGGCACACGCGCTTCTGCAAAGCAGAGGAGTCTGTTCTCCTCCGAGATGCAGCTTCAGCAGTAACAAGCCTCTACAGAGGCTTACAGCGTTTGCATTGCACACTCGCTGCTTTGTTGCTACCAGGGCTTGCTGTAGCACCCTTGCTAACTCTGCGTGACTGAGGAGGGAAGACGGCTCGTCCTTCCCACCCCAAGCCACACCGCAGAGCGTGAAACACAGCCCCATGCACCCCGTGCCAAGCGACAGCCTCGACCGGCCCCGGCTCCTTATGCCCTGCTCCGGACAGGAGGAGACGACTGCCACGTACACAGAGAAGACAAGGGCAGGACTTACATTCACTCTGAATGTTTGCTGTTATTTCCAAAGTGCAAGCATAATAAAAAAGAAGAAAAAGGGTTAATTGAAGAACAAGCCTATAGTCATATACACTCTGTTCACAAACATAAACGTTTATACATAGTTATTGTCGGTCTGCAAATACCAGCAGGTCAACACACAGACATTTTACAAGGAATGATTCAGGTATGCTCAGATCCACTTACTGTTCACGTGCGAGATGCCTCTGCCGAGCAGTCCAGGTCCCTGTTCATTGCCTCTGTGCCCTTTGGGGCCTTTTGGGGCCAAAAGAGGGACCAGCCTTGCCTGGGGAGGCTGCGGCGTACTCGCACCACTCGCCTGTGAGCCTGCTGGTGCTCCAGTGGTCTAGGCGGTTGTACGGCAAGGTTAGGAGTGTCCTACCTTATGGCCAGAATTACCCTGAATCCCCCCATTTCATCCCCCTGAATCAGAGGCTAACATGTGCCTGAAAAACCCTGATGTGGCTTTATGGGTGCAGGCACCTGTAAAATCCAGTAAAATAGGGACAAGGGAACAGTCGCAGACCGTGCAGGGTGCCCTGCCATGCTCGGACAGGACAGGAAGGCTTTTATTCAGGGAAGAAAACTTCTTAACATAGTGGCCGGAGGGGGGCAAACCACTTAGGAAAGCTTAAAAGAAAGAGAAACTGGTGCAACTGCCCCGGCACAGGGCAAGGGAGACTCGGCGGCTGCTGCAAAGGGCACCTGCACGAAGGAGCTGGTCTCCGCGAAGCAGGGAGGGTTTGACCGCTCCTGGCAGGCGGGGAGCGGAGCCCCGTTCCTGCAGAGGAGACCTGCAGTCTGCACGTTGGCCGGAGCAGCCTGTCCGACGTAGGAAAGCCCGGCACCTGCCGAGTCCCTTAGCTCGGCTCGCAGACGCAGGGCGGCCGCCGCGGGAGGGCTAAAGCAGACCTCCTCACCAAGAGGCTTAAAGGGGAGATGAAAACAAAGTCCTCAGTTTCCCTCCGGGCCTGGGGGAAAGGAAAACGAAGCTGAGGCACCGCACCTCAAGGAGAGCTAAGGGAGGGCTGCGAAGGGCCGGCTGCGTGGGACGGATGTTGGCAGGATCTGTAATCCTCGCCCCGTGCCGGGACACGCTCCTTTCCTTTTCCCTGCAACGACACAGCGCGGGGCGCTCCAGAAACGGGCTCAAAAGGACCAAAAACGGGAACAGAACAGGTAACGTGGAGCTTCTCCGATAGGGCCGAGTCACATGGAGGACATGGACGCTCTGCCAAGATATCTTTAACTCTCCCTTCGCTGCTATGGGAAAAGCCTCATGGGGAGCCGCGCCAGCTGCGTTAGGAGGCAGGGCAGCGCTGGGGTGTTGGAGACGTGCCGCTCAGGGATTTTATGCCGTTGTAGCCTGTTCTGGATAGGCAAGGCCAAAGCAGGTACCAGCCTTGGGCTGTGGCAGTTTGGCCAAATCTACACAGGCAAAAATGAGCTGAGTTTTGCAGCCGGAACACAGCTTTTCTGCTGATTTTACGCCTTATATTTACAGCTATCTGTCCCACTGACACTGCGGCAAAGGATCCATCCAAGAAGGAACGGCAAAAGCGAGCCCTCCGTCTCCACCCCGCTTCCCGCTGCAGCACGGGAGGTAAACGGTGGCTCCGCGCCGCGCAGAGGGAGCACGAGCCTATGGAAACGGTGAGCTACCGCAGGAAAGCAAGGCTGCCTTTAGCACTGCTCCACCAGCCGCCAGCATTTCTCTTATTTTTACAACTTAAATGTGATGTGACCTTAGAAAATTGCTCCTTTTCTGATACAAAGCGCAAGGAACAGCAGAGGAAGGCTGGTTGCAACCCATTCGGTTTTGCCCAACTGCACTGGCCCCTATTTCCGAAACAATTATAGATCCTAATGCAGCTGGGCCTGAGAAGGAACCGCCGAGCTGTGTGCATCCAATAAAGTCCCCACTGGTGGCAGCAAGAGCGCCCTGTGCACGTTGCAGGGCTGATTTCTGTGGAATAAATATTTTCATCCAGAATCATCTGGAATGGAGCAAAACGGGGACTCAGACTCGAGTCGTGCACAGACAGGAGGTTGCTCTGGGTCCTCCTCCTTGTGCTTTCAAGTTAGGCAGTTATTTATTCACCTTGGTGAATTAGGGGTTCCCACCCTTTCTCTTCAGTTATTTCCAAACTTCAGCAAAAAGCCATTGCCCCCAACTTTTCATTCCCAAGTTTTTCATTCCCCTTTTGCTGTCCATCAGTTGAGCATGGGTACAGCAGACCCAGGACTCCACAGAGTAACAACCTGCAGGGTAGAAATTGCTCCTACCAAGAGCAGCCCTGGCACTTCAGTCTGAATTTAGACCCTAGCATAAAGCTGCTCTTGTTCTACTGATGCGCTCCTCACTGGAGGATTTCGGTGCATTGCACTGTCAGAATACATTCCCTGCAGCGACAGACTGATTATTATTAACAGTCCCTACAGGAGGAAGCCGGGACACAAAGAAATTATGAAACTGGTTTCTAGAACAGTGATTGGAATAGAGACTCTGAGCCGTGACTTAGCAGCACACTCTCAGCGTGAACCCCCGTCTCAAGCGCATTCAAACCCGTCATGCGTTTCCCATGTGCTGGCCTGAAGATGCCCACTCAGCAGAAGAATCATTATCCCGTATTCCCCTTCCTCCTCGCTCCATATCCCCCAGCTCTTGCGCTTCTGAATCAAACTTAAGTTTCATCTCATAATTAACCCAAATGTCCTGACAGAGAGATAAAAATTGCATAGCTCTACATATGACCTTCCCCAGCACTGCTGCCCTGTGGGACCTTGATGTCGACTCGTGACAGCATCTGAACAGATTAGCAGTGAGCTCATGTCCTCCAGGAAGGAGCTCATCAATCCCTGTGCATGCACTGAGCTACCCGTTTTGCACAACTGTACTATGTCCGAAGCATCAGTGCTGTGACCAGCACAGGTAACTCAGCTGTGACCTGCAGGATGGGGACACCTTTGCTGGTAGACCAAACCCATTTGGAATAAGCTGCCTCTGCCGGCAAAGCCAGCATTCACGCTAAACGGCTAACAGGGAAAGGTGTGCCAGGGCAGGACACAGAATTGAAATTACCAGCAAAGACATATCCTGGCCCTTTAAAATGCCAACAAAATACAGCAGTGTTATCGACAGCACGAATACAAGGTAGGCGTCCTTAGTAAAATGAGCCTCTGTATCCAAATGGCTTAGCCAGCACAACAGTAACAGGAGGGACGATGTCTCCCAGCTAGCTGGCCTTCAAGAAGGTAACACAAATCTCTGCTGTGCTCTGCAGAAACCCCAGGAGTCCTGGGATGCTCCACTTAAGTCAACAGGATGAAGATCTGGCAGGACCTTATTTCCTCCAGACCAGCATGGCCCAGGTGCTCTGTCCCATTTTCACATGGGGTTTTGAGCCCTCGGCTCAGTTTTTGAGGTAGACTGACTAAATCACAGAGTGATTTAAGTGCCTTTCGGGACAAACAAACTCCAAAAACAAACAAAAGAAAAGGGGACCTTAGGCTGGACTAAGAAAGCCGCCTGGGCTCTGCTCTTCTTTGCTCTAGCTCCTCAACCATTCGAAGGGGAGTTTTTAGAGGAGTAAAACAGCACTTACAGTCCAGAGGAACTTCAATGGCGCTGACGAGGTGATGGAGGTAGAGGGCCAACGCTACTGCCGCGCGGGCGAGACGGGGTCTTGGCATCACCATTTTGGACGCCTGGACTGCGTTACGGCCTCGGCTCCGTCCCGCGAGGCGAGCGGACCGCGTGCACGGGCAGGCAGCCTTCTCGCAGCCTCACCTGCAAGACAAACGCAGAAGGGCAGATCACCGAGCCGTTCAACTGTGGGGAGAGAGAGCGTTCCCAACCCGCAAATATTGGGGCGGAGGCACAGCCCAGCGCCCCGGGGAAGGGGGTACTGACAGCGCCAGAAAGAGTTTGCCGGCTCTGGTGACTCCGGTACAAGCCTGCATTCGCTGACTTCCCAAACCCCTTGCTCCATTGACAAGAAATCAGCCTTACTGTGCGATTAGCGCTCAAAACGCAGAGAAACAGCTTGGACAGAGGCAGAGCGGTGGCCGTTCTCCCCGAGGACGGGGCGAGCGACTACCAAACCAGCGCGGGAGAAAGTGAAAAGGGCGATTTGTTGTTTAAACGACTTAATTGTATTTTATACACAAGAAACACCTACCAAACATCAACAAAAACCCAGCCTTTATTCCGGCTTCAAACAGAGAGCTGAAGGTCACTGGAGAGCGCAGCGCCGCCGAGCGTGGCGAGAGCCCCACCAGCCGCCGCACCGTTGCTCTTCCTTCATGCAATATTGCGTGTTACTAGATGACCGGGGGATTTTTGGACGGAGGAGAGCGGAGCTTCCCTTCCCACGCGGCGGCTCCTGTCGCGCTGGAGACGGTCTGCCCGGCCTCTTCCGGGCATGCAAGCGGGGCTCCTTGGATGCGTTCATCCAAACCTCCCGGGGACAGTCAGGATTCAGATTTGCAAACACATGCTTCTTATCTGGCCTTTAATAAACCCATAAACTAAATGGAGATTAAAAGACAATGGAAAAGGAGGATAAATTATCCCCTTAGAAAGGCGCAGAGGTTGCATCACGGCCGAGTCACAACTCTGTCTGCAACGGAGTTATAAATACTGGGCATCAGACGTGCAGACGGCTCTCTCGGCTAAGAACAAAAATAACGCCAGGGCAGCAAACAGTGGAAAATCCCCAGCCTGGTTCCTCGCTGCTCCTCCCTGCCTCTGTGCACAGGCTTCTGCTGAAGCTGGATGTCACCAGACAGGAGAAGAGCGCAGAGAGGCCATTTGGCAAGCAAGGAGAGCCCGTCTTCATGAAATATAAATAACCTGCTGCAGCTTCGGATGCTGCTCCCACTTCAGCTGTTCCCGAGCCCTGAAAGAAGCAAGTGCAAAAGGGAGGGGGGACCCAGCACCACCACCACCCAGCAAAGGCTGCTGGCGTTAATCCACAAACTCATCTCCCCGGAAAGCCCAGAAAAGCTCTGTCACTGAGGGCTTGAAAAATAAAACTACAGGGAGAGAGACCTAGCGGCAGCACGCAGAGGGGCTTGTCCTGCCTTCACAGCTCTCCCAAATCAGCCCAACCCAGCGGAGGTGAAACCGCCGCTGCGAGAGCACCCAGGAGCTACCGTCACCGGGCACTAGGAAACGACCCAGCAGGGAAAGCCCAGATCCGGGCGTACAGCAACCCTGCCCCATGGGGAGAGGAGGGTTTAACAGGGAGCGACCGGCGCGCTGGTGGCTGGGGGACCATGGCTGACTTGCTGGCCGTGCTTTTGGCTAGGACGGGAAAGAAAATCTTGAGCAACTTCTGTGTGTTTCAACTTCTGCGCCTCTCTGCGCCACCGTCAGCTATGGGCACCGCGCAGAAAGCTGCCGCGGGAACGAGCAAGGAGCAGATGGCACAAAATCAGCAGCCTTGACGCATGGCCCGTGAAGCTCTCTCCTCAGCCCCGTAACGGATCAAACCTGGCACAAGACAACTTTTAAAGACATTTAGCCTATTACCTTTGTGGGGGACTAGCAATGTTTGATTGTTTCTCCGTCTGCACGGGATTTCTTTCTCCCCGAGGGAAAGGCTGATCCTGCCCTGCGACCAATAACCACAGCGAATCTCTGCAACCCAGCACGTTTGTGAAATTAGAAAGAGCAGGGGAAGGATCACGTGCGTCGTTCCCATCCCCTCTGCAGACTAAACACGCAGGCGGGGATTTTTAAAGCATTAAAAGAGCAAGCTGCTCAGCTTCCCAGACTTCCTCGCAGCGCTCCTGTGTTTGCAGAGACTTCTGCAGAGATTCCTGAATTTCCGAGACCAGACGCGACCAGTCAGAGCATCTTCCCTGCCCTGCTCTGATGCGAGCAGGGACGGTGCGCCCCTGCTCGTCGGCTCGCCCGCCCCTCTGCGTCCCAGTTATATCAGATTACCGATTGCTTGGAGCCGGGCTCCGATCCTTTTTGCTCATTCGAAGGATTTTCCAATCCAGCTGTTGCAATAAAAATAGTTGAAGCACAGAATAATTGTGGGACTGGGCCAGTAATTAAAGTCATGTACAAGACTTGCACTGTCCTCAGTGACCTGGTCACGCTGGACAAAGCTTTTCAAATTGCTTCTTTAGCTTTCTGTCTAAAGGAAGATATCATTTTGATCTGTAGTCTTCGTTATTTAGAGCTGTTCAATCTTCTAGTTACAGCTTCCAATGAGTAATGGCTCAGCTGGTTTTGCACCTTTCTGTTAGCAAGAAAAAGCTGGATTCATGAACTAAAGCAACCAGTACTGCAACCAGATATTTAGCAAAGCGAAAATTTTTAGTGTTCTTACTAGCTCACAGACTGATGCTGCACCTCACTGGCACAAAATGCTTTAAAACCCTCTTTCTCCACAGATTTAATATGGGAAAGAAGGTGCAAGACAGCAGACATTTAAACAATGCATAACTCCAAATGCCACTTTGTGGCTGAAAAGCGAAGAATATGCTGTTTTCTTTAGACCGGGTACTACCTAATGTGAAAGAAATGGCCATGACAGTAAGGAGTAGGTTCCTGGCACAGATGCTTAGGAGATATTTGTACATACACGCATGTGTGGGTGATTTTGCATTAAATGTTAATACAGAAAGAACTGAGCCCAAACAGCATTCTATATAGCACGCAAAACATGAGGCATCTGTGCATGAAACTGATGGGAAAAAAATATATCCTACCGACCAGCGTAGTTCTGTGACTGGAAAAGTAAGGGCTGTGCATATTGGGAAGAGATACATTTGCAGTGCTGCATTTTGAGCCGATGGGAACGGCAGGGAAAGGGCTGCTCTGCACTGCAAGAGGTGGGCAGAGCTATGGGGGAATTACCCAGGTGTTTCCCATGCCAACGGAGCGGCACAGTGAGAACAGCAGATACAGCCGGACTTACAGCCTGTCTAGATGGAGAGGTGCGGGAAGAGCTGCGTGGGATAGGACTAGGGAGAATTTGCTAGCTTAAAGCCAAAGCAACTAATCTGAAGGAGCAAGAACAAGTGAAAATAATAATAATAATAATAAAAATTGTTTTTAAAAAGCAACAAAATACACAAAATACATCCCCGCATCTAGAAAACCTAAGCGCAAGCTGCACTGCTCCGGGGTCCCATTGTTTTGGGGCCGACGTGGGTGGGACTGGCTGCGCTTCACGCGAAGTCTGCCGCCGTGCCTGTGCGTGTGGGTGGGTTGCTCAGGACACGCGGTGCTGCAAGCCCACGGCTGCACGGCCGGGCACAACGCAGCCCACGCTGGCAGGACCTCGCCCCTTCCCCGGGCAGAAAGCACCGGGAATAGCGCACCAGCGCCAACAGCTCGAGCTGCGTTAGGGGGCTGAGACACAAACACGCTTCTCTGGGGCTTCTGACAGTCATGAAGCTGCCTGATGTCTTAATCTGCTTCTGCGAGATGGACTCAGTCTGCAAGAGACATCTGAAATGTCCCAGTGACTCTGCCAGGCTGGAAATCCATCGAGAACGGGGCTCTGGCTCCGAGGCAAAAGAGCAGATGAGACCTCTTCTTCCCAGACTTAATGTTCCTCAGTCTTTGTTCCAGGATCCTGTTGCACAATGCAGAAAAACTCCGACTCCTGCCAAAACAGCTGAGCAAGCCCTCTAACCTTTTATCTGCTGCAGTCTCCTGGGATTGGCCATAGCCATGGAATTGCATGGGCTGAGTACTGGAAACCAACCCAAAATCTGAACCCATAATAGTCAGTAAAGAGAGGCCACTCCAGACGACAATTTCTGCTAGCTGTATTCTGAGATACCTCTACACTCTCCGAACCTGCAGCTCTATAGATCAAATCCTAGAGACAAAGCAACTAAACCGTGCTGTCCACCTCCTGTGCTGGCTCCAGAACACCCTGTACCAAACGTCCCGCATACTGCTCAGGAGATTTGGGTAGAAAGCAACCACCCTTGCGAGATTTCCAGCAGCACAGACCAAAATCTCACACAAACAGCTGCACGATCGTGACGCCATCAAACAGGAATTTGCCTTCTCCAACACAGCTCTGATCCAGCGTTGACCTCAACCCAAGCACCAGCAGATAGCACCGCGACAGGCTCAGATGCCTTTTTCCCCAAATACTTACCTAAGGTTCAAAAGTGTTTTGCAGACTTGGTGCTTTCCATTTCCCCAGTAACCTACCGCACGTTAATTTTCTAAAGTCTTAGTCTAGGCCGAGAAATATATTCCAGATCTTGCTCCAGATCTCTTTCCAGACAAATTACTTTGGTAAATACATTTTTCTTTTGATAAAAGCATTAGAAACCCTAGGACAGGAAACCATTCCTCCTTGCAAAACTCAGCAAAAGTCCACACAGCATTGGGTGTATGTGAAATGCGTCAAGAGGAATTGTACTTTCCATAGCAAAATTCGCCCCAGTTTCTGTTCTTGAACAGCAGTCATGATAAACCGGATCGAAGGAATAAGAGGTTTCTAGAAGGAAACACCTTGCTGTGCAGAGCCCATCTTGCATTACAAAACACACGGACAGAGGTTTGTATGGTAGCATCATGGGGTTTAAAAGGCAGAGGGTGATTTTGCTGCATTGTCAAATGTTTTCCAAACAAATGCTGATTTTCAAGTGATAGCACAGGGGTTAAGAAAGCGCCCCAAGGACATACACAGTCAGTGGCACTGTCAAGAGGCAAACCTCAGTGTTTCAACTCTCCTGCTCTAATCACACCCAAACAAGTACGGCTAGCTCTTCTACCCCAAAATAGGGCCAGACAGACTGATG